ATTTCTTAGGGAGGGTCCAAGAGCTGACTCCCCCAGCACAGGTCATCAACCAGCCCAGGATGTTCTCAAATTTCCGGTAGTATATGCTGATAAAATCGGGGTCATTCTCCTTACAACTTTTCATTTGAAATCTTCAAGTGTACCCTTTTAGGTATTTGTAAAATAAGACTATATGGATATATATATATATATATATATATAGTACCATTCTTTATAGCTGAATAGTATATCACTGTCTAAATACACCATTTTTTTTATCCATTCATCTGTTTTTGGTCATCCATGTTGATTGAACGTCTTAACTATTGTGAACGATATAATAACAAACCACATTACTAAAGTGCAAATATCATTTTAATGATCAGATAGCATTTCCCTTGGATATTCACTCCAGGAATAACCCCAGGATTTTACAGCCTACCAATTCTCCTTTAAAGGTGCAAAACCAAACATTGGATAAAGGATACCCTCCTCAATAAAGGGTGCTAGGAAAATTGAGTATATGTAAAATATTTAAACTCTATCCTTTTCTCCCAATGTACATAAAAACACTATCAAAATGGATGAAAGACTTAAATATAAGATCTGAAATGAAAAAACTACTAAATGAAAACATAGGGGAAACACTTTAAGACAAGAATACAGGTAACATTTTGGGTACAAAGTTAAAAACACAGGAAAACTGATACTAGGTAAATGGGATTATATCAAACTAAGGTCCTTCTACACATAAAGGAAATAACATAGTGAATATGAAATGTATAGAATGGGGGAAATATCCACTAAACTATTCATCGGACAAAGTATTGAAATCTAGAATACACAAGAAACTAAAAAAATTGAATAGCAAAAAGTCCAATTTAAAATGAAAAAATAATGAGGAGATGTTTTTCAAAAGCAATCCAAATGGCATAAAATTTATGAAAAATCCTCAAAATCATTAGCCATTAGGGAAATGGGAATCAAAACCACAACAAGATATCATCTTCTGTTAGAATAGCTATTATCAAAATGATGAAGAATAACATAGCCTGGTGAAAATGTGGAGAAAGGGAACTTAGACACTACTGATGTACATTAGTGCAGCCATTATGGGAAATGGTGTAGTGCTTCCTCAAAAAGTTAAAAAGAGAAATACAATATAATCCTGAAATCCCATTATTAAGTATATATGCAAGAGAAATAAAATTGATACATTGAAGAGACATCTCAATTTCCTTGTTTATTGCAGCACTACTAACAAAATTGTCCATGAACAAATGGAGTAAGAAAATACAATGCGTGCATACAGTGGGATACTCTTCAGCTCTAAAAATAATGAAATGCTGTATTTCTTGACAATGTCTGTAGAATTATGTTAAATGAAATAAGCCAAGCTCTGTAATTAATGTATCACATAATTACAGAGTTTGAAAAAGTTTATCCAGTTCTTTTATAGTTGCTCCATTTTTAATGTAGAATTCTAGTATGTTTTTATAACATATGCATCCATCAACTTTTTGCATATTTAAGCTATTGTTCAATATAAAGTCACTGCTGTCAGCCCTTCTCAGGCAGAAAAAAGCTTCAACTGAGTTTGAAATTTTCTACAACTGCTAACTACTGTTTCATAAATAATTGTAAAGTAAATTAAAATTTATGAAACTTAACTAGAAATAAATAAAATTTAAATTATAAGTTTCTAAATCTCTAAGGAAAATCTTAATTCCTATACTAGCATTGGTTAGACAGATTGGGAATCTATAAACCGAAGAAAATTTGTACATGAAATTAAGTATACATGTCTTCATATAAGAAAATCCTAAGTAAATTCATGTCTTTTTCTTTAATCTGCTCATGAAATGAGTTGTTAAATATGTGCTCAAGTGTCAGTGACAGACAGCTAATTTTCTGTAACTCAGATAATAAGAAGATACTTTCTGCCATTTTTGGTTAAATAGACTGTGTTACAAGTTTTCAAACCTACATAAAAGGAAAATTGTAATAGATGATCTTTAATCATTCTGATATATTGCAAGGTAGATAAAGAATGTTATGTAATAATAAAATATTTTATGACTTAGTACATAACATACTTATGTATTTCCTGAGAAAGGGTAAAATCATTTTGATGCGTTATTGTATTACAAAAGCAATGTTTCTGAAAAATAGAAAACTGAAGATGTTTACATTTATCTTCTAAGTTTGAGATGAGTCAGAATTGTGTGTCTGGGAAATATGCTACATTTGACAGCTTTTTAATTCATACAGACAGGAAAAGGGTTGTATGTCTTAAGTTTTAAACTCTTAGGAAATTTAAATTATAGGGTAAAAAATTCCATCACTTCAATAGCTACTTCAATCATTTTTTGAAAACTGTCTGAATCCATAGCAAAAGAATTTCATTATCTTTGAATTACAAGGTGGAGTGTCATGCGTTATTACATAGGACAAAGTCTGTTAAATGAGCACGGGCAGTGCCATTAGCATTTTGTTCCTACACTCGAGTACAAGTCAGTTCTGCTTAAGTCACTGTTCGCAGAAGCCAGAAGTGAATGTCCAGTTAAAATGGTGCCATCAGTTAATTAGAGTGGAATTAGGAGGACAGTGGGCAGTTTAGGAACGTAAGAATTACTGTTCCGAATCAGCCTGGTGGTTCTCGTGGTTTAATATCCAGCCTCCAGCAGCTGTGCTTGTTAGTCTCCACAGTTCTAAAAGAAAAGAAAGAGCCTACACAATTCTCCTAGACAAGTATGCCATCTGCAACCTGGAAAAATTTTCTTCTTGACCTCTCTGCAATAACACCCTAAAGCAGGAACTTTCAATCCTACCATGATATTAGCTTAGCTTGAATAGCTCTGGCTATTAATACTCCTTATTAAATCATCCAATTCCTACATAAAATCAACTAGTCCATCAGGAAGCTATTTATCTCTAACGTTCCTTACTCCTGAATTCATGCTTGAGTTTGTCTGCTTCTAGGAAAAAATATATGAATTTATGATGCTTAGTCGATATAAGTTCTTGACGGTAAAATTGCCTACGCATAACCACACTGGATAAATTTCTGCTTTTGTTTCAAAGTCAGCTGTGCTGAGAGGCTTTTTCCAATCTTTCTGCAAACCCTTAACTGCCAAAATTTCTTACTCCCAAATTTCTACTTATTAGTAAAACAATTTCTATTTATTAATAATCAACAGGTGTTCTATGAATAACGAAGAATTCTACACACCAAACTTTTAGAACGTTCACCTGGACTTTTTAAGGTGGAATGAAACTAAGAAAAGGAAGGTTACCCATCCTTATCACTTCCGTCTTCTGTCTGTGGTAGAACTACCTGCAGCTACACTGTACGTTTTTTATACTATTCTCAATACACTTCAGCTCAATATTTCTAAAACGTTGCCTTCACAAAAAAATCCCTCATGAATAGCAAATTCATCCAAGCTCAACTTCCAACCATTTCTCCGGTCTCTCAGATTTTAATATAATCACACTTACCTCCTAAACTTTTATCTGATAATACTTCCCTCTGGCTTCAAATCCAAAACGCTAGGTTTATAGTCATTTAAGCTAAGAAGAAAAAGCAGATTTTTTTCACTGGCTTGCTTGCTTGCTTGCTTGTTTCCTCTCAGTCTCCCTGTGTACTCCAGGCTGGCCCGGAAGTCACTTTGCTGTCTGTCTGCCCTCCGGAACTCCAGACAGTCCTGCCTCTGCCCTTCAAGCACCAAGGTTACAAGTGTGATCCACCGTGTCCTGCCCTCCTTATTTAACTCTGTGTCAATTCGGTTCCCTTTCCCAAGCCGACTTCATTTGCCTCATGGGTCAGCTTCGTATTTCTTCTCCCTACTTGCACCGCAGTCCTGTTCCTCCCTGTATTTCGTTTGAAGCACGGAGGAGGGATCGCTACATCTTCTGAAAATTTGTGTCCCTTTGTTTAGACTTGGTTTAGAATACCTTGCATTGTTGGTTCTCTGTTTTCATAGATGTTTTTGCATACAAATTCTGTCTCCCATATTTGTAGCCTAGACCAGTATCAAACTCATAGTAAGGATAACATAAAGATATATTAATGAGTAAGCTACCAATTTGTCAACGATTAACTACTTAATGCCACTTGAGAAACACCTGGGGCTTCCATTTATGTGATCTTAATATTTACTGAGAGCTACGCAGACATAATGAACACAGGAATGCAAATATCTAAAAATGGAGTCAACTGTCTTTTATTTAATCACAATTATGGATATGGGAAATATCAGTAAAAAGAGTATATAAAATTCCTAAACAAGTTTGGATATATGAGATTGTGAAATATGGGAATTCCAAGCATGAATAGTAATTGAAATAAAGGGAAAGAAGTAAAATAGAGATGTAACTTCTCAGAATATTCACAAATTCTCATTGGGTAGTTTATGAAAAGAACCCTTAAAAAGAAATTTGTAAAGGTGACTTATATTATCTCATTTAACTTAACCTGAGTTGTGGTGAAAATTATTACAGAATTTTTAATTAGTGATATCAGGAAATGTGAGCTGATCTTATCAGGGTGATATAGCAATCATGAGTTCATTATACAAGGAAATGTGTAGTGAGTCCCAATCTCAAGAAGGAATGGAATGAAAGAGGTGTCACCAAGTTGACTAGAGAGTGTAAATATTTCCTGGGAAAACGTGGTTCTGTGTGAAGGAAGCTAAGGAACAAGTTAGCACTTCCCTTTCCGTACCCTGAGTTGCAGATCATGAAAGATTCTACTGAAATTGAAAAATATTTTATCTCGCTGTATGTTATACAGAAATACATGCAATAATTTTATCTTTAAATTTTAATTCCTACAGTTTTGTTTTTACTAACAGAGTTCTTCAAGGTACTAAAATAGTCAACCCAGTTCATCTGACATCATCAAAATCTACATTTTTCTTCGATTGCTTAAAATTTCTTGCTAATAATTTTAGAGAACAATATTCTTTTTTATCACCATGATTTCAAATCTTTAATAACTTCTCTATTTAATTACTTAGACACCCAAATGGTACCCAGAGAAATAGCACCGGATGGCCGGTCTTCAAAAGCACTGGACAAAAATACCTGACCTTGAACACAGAATCACCAAGAACATACACTAAACTACGTGCCCAACAATGCCGATTTTGGACACTATTTTTTCCCAAAGTTTTGGAAATGACAGGTGTGTAAGTGTGTGTGTTTTAACTGTTTAATCAATAGGCTATGGGCTATATAAGAAAGGAAAAGATAGACTATTCAAGGCATTATTAAAGTGATGTTGTTAACATGCATGTCTGTGACTTCACAGTTACTTGATTCCCTTGCTATGTTACTAAAGAGTACATTCTTATTTGTTTCACTTTATTCTTCTACATGTCTGCAGTACTAATAAAATGCTCCCCTTCCTTGTGTACTAACAGTACTTACATCCCTGCATGGAGCGGGCACCTGTACACGACGCGTGTTGATTCCTTCCTGACCCCTAACCCTGCTCTTCCTCTGCACCCCTCCAGTGTTCGATCCCCTCCCCATGTGAGACAGATCTGCCTCCTTACTTCCTATTATCCTGCTTACTTGATTTAAAAGACTTTCTTCCAACAAGTTTAGATGTGTTGTTAGTACTCACTATAGGAGTAGAAAACTTAGCAGACAAAAAAAAAGAAAAAAAAATATATATATTATATATATGTATATTTCTTCCTGGAGGAACAAGAAATCTGTATGGGACCCTACTTACTATTCAGCCAATCTACATGGAGTTAATTAATAGATAAATGAATAAATACATAAAATAATATTTAGAACTACACAATAAGTATTCAAAGGTAAGTAAAAGCAAACTTACTGATAAAACACCAAAATTCTTGGTTTGTGGGGAAAGAATAGGTCCATAATCTACATACTTAAAAATAAAATATAAATATTTTTAAGTACTCTTGAGTTTGCAAATATGTAACAAAGTACATGCACCTATTTTTGAAATACATATCATACAGAAAATTTAGTTAGATAGTATCTAGGATGTAAGTGTTTAAAATTATATAAGGAAATAATGGGAAATTGGTACTGATTTTCATATAAGTTCAATATTCATGATTAAAATTTGATCAACCTGAGTATTCAAACGTATATCAGCATATATCATCTTACTTGGCTTTTTGAGAAAAGTGACCTATATATCAGCCCACTGTACAGCTTTAAAATATCCATTTACTTGTAACTCCCATTATTCCTCATGTCTATGTTCAACTTTTATTTCTCAAATGAATATAACTGACTCAATCCTCGGGCTGTTTGCCAGCCAGATCTGCCATATCAGCCACCACAGCATTCTGTAATTTTCAGACTACGTAGTAGGTAACAAAACATAGTGTGGATTTTTGAGTTTTCTTGTTGACAGAATTTTTGGTAAGAGTTTCAGACACATATGAGTGTGTTAGAGCTGCATAGCATTGTTTAATAAGCCCTTTGATTATCAGAAATTACTCAACCCAAACCGTAATTGTGTACTCCATCTGTCTGGGTGCCGCGTCTGGTATACCAGCGCTCTGTGTGTTACCAACCGCTCTGTGATGTAATATATATCTAGAAATGGGTCTCTGCTTCCCCCGGCAGAGCAACAGTGCATGCCTTGTATTCTCTGCATGTGAATAACGATGAGGTAACTAATTTAATCTGCCAAGAGGCCCAGAGAGAACCATTGAACATCCCAGACTGCATATTCTTCATCTGTATTTAAAATATTTTAACTAAGAGGATCCTAATTTGAAGGAAAATAAGTAAAGAAAAAGGACAGTGACTATTTTAAATTACTTACTCGTTATAAATCAGTCTTTCTGACACTAACACAAGTGATCTCTGGCAGTTCATTTGTCACTAAAAATAAATTTGAATACTAGAAATTGTTGAAAGTAGGTCTCAAAAATCTCTGCCATCAAAATTCATCTGCCACAAACAGGTGGATCCAATAAATGCCAAAGTTTTGAGCCACCTGCTGCTATTTCAGATAATGCTTCACAACTTTTTAACTGAACAACATTGAGCTCCAGGAAAACCGCAACTTGCTCTGCTCTGAGACTCTGCTAAGGTTAGTTCCAGTGTGGCTTGAAAATGTCATTTTGCATTTGAGCACTATTTTTCTTTCAAATAATTCCCTCCCCAAAAGATTTTCATAGTAAATACATTTTATATATGTTCTAAAGTAAATGCAGGGCTGGGGATGTAGCTCAGTGGCACAAGCCCCTGTCTGGCAAGTGCAAGGTCCTGAGTTCCATTCCTGATGTCAAAAATAAATAAAGTAAATGCAATCTAAGATCATTCTAAACAGGCATTCATCTACACAATACTGTTATAATATACACAAGCAAAAATAGTATGAATTTACCTGTTTTTACATAAGACTGCATAGCTAAATAGGTTAAGAATATATATTCTGCTCTACCTTATTTTTTTATATAACAAACTTTTAAATATTTTCATCTTTAAAGCTTTAAAAGTTGGTGGTACTCAGAAGACTTGGGATAAAGCTTAGGAGTTTTTTTAAGGTAGCTCTACAAATGAAGAAAAGTTCAAGAGAATTACTATTGACTGACTATTTAAACATGGAAAAAATTACTTAAGATCGAACCACAGTAAGCTTTAGAAGCACTACTTAGCCATACTTTACTTTGGGGAAGTAAATATTTCCAGATAAAATGTTTCCTAAGACTAACTTAAACACATGCATTCTGGAACTCCACTCCAGGGATACTGCTCATGCTCCTGCCAACGCTGTTAGGGCACATATCTGAAGACGCAAAATGTGCAGTATTTGTGCAAAATATTACAGTGTTGAGATTTCTACTAAGAATGTCTTGGAAAAAAGAAAGAGAAGTACATACATGAGCCACTGATTCTCACCAATAATCCAACTTGTTTCATTCAAAATGAAAGAGAACTGAGTGTAGCGGCACAATGATCTCAGCACTCGAGAGGCTGAGGTAGGAGGATTCCTGGGAGTTTGAGAGCAGCCTGGGCTATAGTCAGTTCAGGGTCAACCGAAAGGACACAGTGAGATCTTATATTAAACACAAAGCAAAAACCAAAGAGCAAATTGAGAGAGTACATTCTTTTAAAGAAGTTATTTGATGTTCATATTATCCCAGCAAAAAAAAAAAAATATTAGGTACACCGGTTCCTCCACTGACCTTTAAATAAATAACAGAACATTATTACCTACCAACAGTGAAATGATCTGACTTTGTATTATCCCATTGAGAGAAATATGCAGTACACTGGTTCCTCCACTGATCTTTATGTAAAGAACACAGCATTACTGCTTTCCGAAACTGAAAAACTATATATAAATTTCAGAACTAAGGTACTCTTTGAGTAGGCCACTTTGTGGAATATTACTAATATTTTACAGTTTACTAATATAAGTGACAATTAAAGATGAGAAGGTAGAAAGATGATGAGGAAAAATGAAATTAGTTTTATTATCTTAATATCTCCAAATCCTCCATCCACCATTAACAGGAAAACAACTAGAAAGCTTTGTGTAACTCGCTTATTAAATCAACCATTTATTTCAGGTCCTCAGTACCTGAAGTCTTCACAGTGCCTACCCTGGATGTAGAGTAGTTCCCTCTCCAACCTCACGCCCCGCTCAGATGATAACAGGGAAACAGATAAGGTTATGGTCTCCTGCACAGAGCTGCGCTTTCCCCGATCAATTTCATAACTGTTGCATCAGTCACTTCCTCGTCACGTGGACGATATATCAGACACAATTTAAAGACGAGGTTTCCTGTGGATGCTGGTTTCAGGGAGTTCAGTCAACGTTTCACGGGCTCCAGGAGAGAAACGGCTTTGCCCAAAGGCCTGGCGGAGGAGGGCTCTTCCCCCCTGCACCCAGACAACAGAGATCAAAGGACAAAGCCAAAAGTGCTGTTCTCACTGACCCCATTTCTGTATTCCATCCCCACCTCCTCACGGCAACTAAAATTTGCCAGTAATGCATTCCTGACCTGGTGAGCCAAGCCCCTTCAAAGCACAGGAGGCTTTGGGGCAAGGTTTAAATCTGAAGGACAGCACTGGCCAAGCGCAGGAAAGTCGGACTGTGATAGGAGACAGAGACAGTCAGTGAGCACTCAAAGATAGGAGCCGTGGTGTTTTTAAACTCGATGCTCAGCACAATGAAACATCAGCTTAATCTGGTCATTACTAACTTTACCTGCACTGGCAATTTTAGGATAGTTCAATGTACAGTTCCTCCCCTATGGCGTTCTTACAGTTCACGTGTTGAAGTCCAAACTCTGAAAGGAATGGCATTAGGGTGTGGTTGAAGCCGACAGAGAAGGGTTTTGTTTTGTTTTTTTTTGGGGGGCAGTGTGTTTTGTGGGGGGCGTTTTTTTTTTTTTTTGTCTTTTTGAGACAGGGTTATGCTGTGTGGTTCCGGCTGGTCTTGAGCTCACTTTGTAGCCCAGGCTGGTCTCACAATGACCCTCCTTGCTCAGTCTCCTGAGTGCTGGGATTACAGGCGTGTACCACCACGCCTGGCTAAGCACTGCCTTTAAAATCAATATTCTCTCTGGTCCTGGTAGTGCACCCCTGTAATCTCAGCACTCAGGAGCCTGAGGCAGGATTTACGTGATTTCGAGGCTGGCCTGGGCAACATAGTGAGTTCAAGTCCAGTCTGGACTACACAGTGAGACCCTGTCGCAAAACACAAACAAACAAAAGACTCAATATTTTCAGAAAACATTTACTAATACAGAAACACATAAATACTTATCAAACAAAATAAATTATCCTAATATCAATTAACCATAAAACTATAAACATAAAAAGAAGAAACTAATTTCCAAGCAACCAACATCTGTGGTGGGTTTGATTGGACTATCTGTCCTCAGCAGTTAGCAGTTATCTCATTTCTCAGGAATGATTTAGGACCTTTACCACATGCATAGCATGCTACCTGGTAGAATACGACTCCCCTTTCACTTTCTAACCAATGAATTAGATGAGTCTTTACCACTTTTGCAGAGCTTCTCCTCCTCCACTGTTCTCCTAGGAACTGCTTTAGCAGCCAGAGTTACACAAATAAAGATGGCAGCGTCTGCTCACTCACGGGGCGGCAGTGGGGTCGGGTCCAGGAACGTGGACGGCTTTGAAGAGAGGGTATCTGTGCTGAATCTTAGCAGGCAAAGCAGGGAGAAGCCAGGCAAGCAGGGACCGGGGACCAAGCGTCTTGCGTGTCATACTGAGGAATTTAAATTCTCTCTTAAGCAAAGCCATTTAGCAATTTTAACTGAAAGTCTGACATGCTCTGGTTATTGATTCATGAATGTTTTAGCTTTCACTGCACGAGAGTCTCTCCGGCTCGTTGCTTTAGAGTTTCTGGAAAGAGTCTGCAGCACTGACAAAATAATTTCCCTTGTGAGACAGTATTTTTCATCGAAAGAGTTACTTTTGCTTCTCGCTTTGCATCAAGAATATGCTCTTATTTCCATTTTACCTATTTGTATTTATATTTTTACATTTATTTTATCTGTTATTTAAAAGCATTAACGTTACAGGCTGGCCTTGATCCCGCCCATGCCTGTTTTTCATACTATTAGTCCTTATTTTTTTCTTCTGTTTATATTTGTACTATGTATTTGTCCCTATCCTTTTACCTTATTATTTTACATATGTTACCATTTACCTTATTATTATTTACCTCTATTATTTTTTGTACTATTTTACTTTGCTTACATTATTAAAATGCCATAAGCTGAAAACAATTAAATAGCATTTGCTCCACGTTTGTTATAAATGAAAACGAGGGGCTTTGTCACTCATGTTGATTCAAAGTTCCTCACTAAAACTCATTAAGCTATAGTGTGTTGTGACAATCTTTCCATTACGTTACAGTACCGGAACAGTAAAGCATTACCATGGGAAAGAAGGGCAGATTATGTTATCATTCTATTATTAGTAATAAAACTCTTTCTAAGAAATTAAACAGGGTGGCAAGGGTCCACCTGTCTGGTTTTCCTTTTTTTTTTCTGTTGTTTTCTTCTTTTTTCCCCTGTTGGATTATGCTGGGAATTGAGCCCAAGACTTTTCAGTGAGCTACACTCCCAGCCGTTTATTCAGTTTCATATTTTGAAACAGGACCTTTCCCGACAGCTGAACGGCCCATGCTGGGCTCCAACTCGTTCACTTCCTGCTCGCATGTCTCTTTTTCACTGGATACTATTGGGCAGTACTTTACCTGTAAATTTAATGCTAACCTCCCCTTTCTTTTCATATTCTACACATTTTTTTTTGTTTCCAAGTCATTCAAATCTTCATTACGTTTCCCCTTGCCCAAGAAATAGTTACGCATATGGGATAATGAACGGTGTTGCTGTCATTCGGATACTGTGGACTTCTGGGTGCCGCTGAGCATGAAGAGAAACATTTAAAGTGGGTTGTTCTCCCTTGATGGCTGAATTCATATCAAAGTTAGTCTAATGCCCTTAGTAATTGGAACTCTAAGATTACAAACTAGAGTGGTGGAATGTAGCTCAGCAGCAGAGTGCAAAAGATTACAACCTAGAAAAACAGGGACTGACAATTTGGATTTGTAGTAAGAACACAAACTATGAAAATTCACCTTTTTAAGCATTGTAACTTTATGCTAAAATATAATTTGTTTTAATTAATCAACTATAGAGCAAACACATTGTCTAATGGTCTTTCTTTTCTCAAATTGTAACTAACTTAAATACTTCTAGTCAAATTTAATCCTTGTTTGTAATGTATAGGTATATTTATTTAAGATACATGGTTTTATCCCTAACACTGCTGACTTTGATAATAAAGCAAAAAGTTCTCCAGACTAGATTTTATGTTCTTAGACATAAACAAGCTAATACAAATGGAAAAGAAAGAAGACAGGAGGAAAAAGAAAAGAAATGAAGAGAAAATCTTCTAAATTTGGTTTTGAGTCATTTCAGAGCTCTCAGAACTTTTTTATCAGTTATTTATTTCTTCTGGGTTTTATTAGAAACTAAATAAATGTCTCACATTTTATTGTATTAATCAGTACCTACTACTTTTAAAAGGAAAGAAAGTATTCAGCCTTATAGAGCATTGTGTACTAAAAAGTTTTTCAAAAGAATAAATTGCATAGTTATATGATTGACACATAAAATAAATTTGCATTTGTAAGAGTCAATAGATTTGGGACTATTCCATGAATAAGAAAAGAAACTCAGACAAAAATTGCATTCTATAAATATCAAAATTCATGGTCTAAATGCTAAATTAGCAATAATTTGTTTATTCTATCAAAAGTTTTATTATTCTTCAACTTTAGATTCCTTATTTTGTGTGACATCTGAAACAACATATAATTATCACTTAAAAACACCATAAAAGTAATCCTTTGTTATATTTAACATGTTTATTCTCAGTGGTTTTGACCCCTTAGAAAGCTGTATTATTCACAAAAAAGTTATAGTCATTGACCTTTTAGAGTCCATTTTTACATGAGAATTAGATGTTTAATATAAATCACCAAATATTTGCCCAAAGTTCAAGCATTATAAACATTTCAGACCCTAATATATCTTGAATTATAAGTAATATTTTAATGGTTACAAAAGTATTTCAAATAATTCATATATTTAAACAATTCATATAATCTTAAATTGGATCATTATATTATTTTTTCAAATTAATTTCCTACAAATTTATCTCTTAGTTTTAAAAATTTTTAACTGAAAGTTATATAATTCAAACTTCTGGCAGCTCCTTTTTCAAGACACTTGAAAAACTAAAATTTTATTTTTAATTTAATGACTATAGCTTAGTGACTTAAATAATTAAAAGGCAAGAGACCTATAAATATGTGAAATGCTTATAGATTTGAACAATTAAATCATCTTCTAAACTCATTATATCTGCTTATATCAGAAACAAGTATGTGATTTAAGCTTGTAATTGTATGGCTTCTAATGTTCACAATCCTTAATATAATATGATTTCAATATAAGCTTTTGGGCCTGGGGTGTTGGTGCATATAGTCTCAGCACTCAGAAGGCAGAGGCAGGAGGATTTCTATAAGTTTGAGGCCAGCCAGGCCTGCGTAGCAAGACCTTCTCTCAAAAAAACAAAGAAATTCAAGGTTCTTGAAGTACATAGGCCTCTTTTTAAGTTCACTGCCTCACAGTATTTCTTGCTAAAAATTATTTTCCACTAACACATACATATCTTCATATTACTTGACAGTAGATAAGCTCTGAGTCAGATCTGAGTCATCTTTCACATTTATAAAGCAATTATTAAACTGTGTCCACATGATAGACAGCTGAGACACCGACTAAACATTGTTTATAATTAAAATATAGTGTAGTGAGTGCAGGACATATGGAATTTTTGTGCATTAAGAAGTATAGATATATAAGCATTTCATTTAAAATAATACTCTGCTATAATAATATAATTAATATAATAATATTTTACTATGTAATTATATTAACTATGCAAACACACAGACGTACACAAACAAGATGCAACATATGAGACTGTTTTGTTGAAATGAGTCAGGAGTCTGAGGCCAACCTGAATTGCTAGGCCAGGGAGAACCAGTCTCCAAAACCAAAATGATCAGGGCTGGTGATACAGCTCCACGGTACAGCGCCTGCCTGGCAAGCACAAGCAACAAAAGAAAGTGTATAAAACCAAAAAGCAAACAGAGTCACTTAATGAGAGCAATATCCATACGTATTTCTACTTGTGGGAACGAAAAAACTTGAAGATAATAAATGCATAAAATCATTCTGTCATTTAATATATTTTAAGATTTCATGTACAAAGGTTATATATATCTTATTTACATTTTTCATATCATGTTTAAAATTTACTGAGGATTTCAGGTATAAATAGAAGATGATAAATTAATAAAGAATAAACAGTACTGTACAGTATACCTGGAGAAAATGCCATCTGTAACCAAAGTTACTTTCAATTAGTGTAAACAGATCAAAGTTCAGATGAATGCAACTCATTCCATGTTTTACAGGAAATATTGATGAGGCCGAGCAAGAGTGGAGAGCAGGATTCCATCGCTGGAACAGTTACATGATGGATTGGAAGAATCAATTCAACGATTACACCCGCAAGAGAGAGAGCTGCATGGGTCTCTAATTAATAGATTTGCCCTTTATATAGAATGTTCATTTTCTTATAGATGAAGGTAAAAATATTAGTAGCTCTCTATACACCTTCAAAGAAAGCTATTATATAGCTGTAACAAAAATGCCAGCAGGGTAATATCGATTCTGCACATTTTTCATTCAGTATTTTACCTAGCATTTCAAAATCCAAAGAGCTAGACCATGTTTAATTAAATTTCACCATATAAAATTTGACAATTAATTATATGCATACTAAAATGATGTGCTACTTCTCTTTCCTGAATAATTTTATTTCTTCCCTAAAATATATGTATTCTATTTTCAGTCATGTCTGTATTTTCATTGACATTCATATAAAGGTATGTTTTTAAAATGAACTATATCTTGAAACACTGGATCCTATACAATATGATTTCTTCTAATTAATTTATCAAATTAACATCAGTATGTGATATGGAAACACACACAAGAGTAATAGTCCTTGTTTTTTATGTAAGGGCAAGAGGGAATATTCAAATTAGAGGCTCAGTCTTTAGGAGGCATCTTCTAGAAACAAACCACTACTACCAATAGACACAATCAAGGAAGTTCTGCACAGAATTCAAAACCGAACTTTCCGGTTACCCAAGGTGAGAAAATTAGCTCATAAAATCACTTGAAGTAGGGTACAGGTGTCGCACTCACATTAGGTTTGCTGTTCTAACTGTTGCTCTCACGAAGCATACGTTCAAGGGTCTTCAGTGCTGTAGATAATGAGGTCCCGTGTCATATGTCTGAGGAATCTGTATCAAAACAGGACCCGACTTACCCAGAGAAGCATGCTGGAGCCCTGAAAGCACGCCGGTGGCACCACGGCGGTGGCGTAGAATGGGCAGCTTGAGCATTTGTCCGCTCTTTGCCGTTGTTCCTTGTTGGAAAGAAGGAAGGGCTGTAAAGCAATAATACCTCTTTACTAGCAGCACTCCTCAAAGCTGGCTTGGCTTTTATCACAGCAATCTCTGCCCTACCGTGAACGCTCTCACTCTTTGTGTGATGACCGTTGAAAAAGATGTTTCCATGTTCGATTCTAACTCAGGGACCTCGATACAAGGGAGAAACGTGTATAGAGAGACAGAAGTGAGTGTTCCAGACTTCTTAGACATGTCCACATCAACAGGCTCGAAAGTGAAAAAAAGAGTTTGGTCAGTTAAAAAACTGGCAATGTGCAGATATTAAAATTCCAAGACAGTGTGAAGTCCTCTCCAGCTGACAGAGTACAGAGTGGTGGAATCACCACATAAATGTAAAAACCTATAGAAGCTATCACTGGATTTGGATAAAAGGTTCAGTACATGTCTCAAAAGTAGGACAAGTAATTGTGTCTCAAGTTCCAACAGGAGTACAATAAATGCAACTACTATCAAGAAATTAGTTCCATCAATTATTTGCATACTGAGAAACAGTTATGTTTGATGTTTTGATTCTAAAAATGTGTATGAGGGTTAACAAGTCATTTACCTCAAAAATAGCATAGTAACTAATTTTAATTTTTCCAGAAATTAGCTGCTGAATATTGCAAGCACAAAGAATAAAAAATTTTAAATAAAATTATTTCTAGTCAAAGTGAAAATAAATTTCAGGAGCATCTTCACATAATTTCAGCTGTGACCTATTCAGCAAATATCCCAATAAATGAATCCTATGTACATTGCTGAAGAATGTGATAAACCCAAGATGCATGAGCTTCCTGTCGCATGATATCATAGTGATTTCAACAAAAATATTTCCTTTATGAGTTTATTTAAAATGAAGGTGTTCAGTAGAAAGAATTTTAAGTTTTTTACTAAATTTACATAAGATAAATATAAACTTAATGTACCATTTCTCAGCTTTCAGACTGTCAGAAAATAAAGATCATCAGGTTTGAAAATATGTACACTGTCTGGCGTGGTGTGCACCCCTGCACTCAGGAGGCTGAGGCAGGAGGATTGCTGTGAGTTTCAGGCCAGCCTGAGCTAACCGGTGAGTTCAAATCCAGCCTAAACTACATAGTGAGACTCTGCCACAAAAAAAAAGTTACACAAAGGTGTAGAGGTATATTTACTTACGTTTATATATACAGAAGTCTGCTAATGTCCAGTGGGGAATGACACTAAGGAAATTCATTCACTAACTAGCTCCATGAAGGAGAAACATCAGAGGACAAGAAATGGAGCATACGTGACGGTCACACAGTAATCAGCTGTGCATTAAAATTAATGTAAAAATATAAAATATATCATGTAGCACAGATGTACTATAAATGGTATCTTAGTTCATGAACTTAATTTGTGCCACAATTCTGGTCACAATCTAAATCAAATTTCCCTACAAGGTTCAATATCACCCGATGCAAAGTTCATGAACTGAAGCAAATTTATGCCAAATGCTTCTGTTTGCAAACCAAATTGTTCACAAACAGAAGCGTTCATAAACCGAGGAGCCACTATAAATATGAAAATGCATAATTCACTTATGTTTTACAAGGGTCATTTTGGATATTAACTGTTGTTTAGCTGAAAAAATTATTTACAAGCTAGTAGAATGGAGAAATATTAGATCAATTATATTATCAGTAACTGCGTGAGGAATATTATTAAGCTGAACAGCTAAACACATTAGAGGTTTGTGGGGGCAGAAACGATAAAATCTCTGTCAGTCCCCATCTCTAGCATAATACTGTATCCAAGGATGAAAAATATCTGAAAATCACATTTTCTGAGATGAGGATAGAGAGATTTTTCCAAATTTCTTTCCAAAAATATCCCCTAGCCTCGGTAAGTTTATTTTACCTTGACATCTGTTGTATTTAGTTCAAATTTTTAGCATTAGTGTTACCCAGGGATAACAAAATCCACAAGTGATATAATGATTTTAGTGGCCAACATTAGCACAAAGAGACACACACAACCCCCAAAGTCATATCTCTTACCAAAAGAAGGACGGTTTTACTAGAATTTTTTATATTTACCCTGGAGGTAAAACAAACAAACAAACAAATAAACAGCAACAATAACAATGAAAAACCCTGACTTTTCAAGACAATTATTTGTGAACGCTTTGCTGCTTGAGTCACTCTACAAGTGCCTACATAACGCCACCACAGTATTCAGTGTTTGTTAATTAGGTAGATGTCAGAGGACAAGATACAGCAGAATTCAGTCCTATTATGCGGGAAGAAAAGAGTATTGTGAGTCTTTGGGAGCCAGGAAGGAGCATAAGAGAAACAAAGAAACGGGAGGAAGAAAAAGAGGAAGGGGGTGGGCAGGAAGGAGGAGATAATCCACCCCTGCAGCCAACTGGATGGAATTTAACAGGACTGCTGTCCAGCTACTTGCCTTTAAGGTGGGAGAAAGGTAACAGACTCGTGGATCAAAGTAGTAGACCATAATTCACATAGATGGGGCATTCAGCTGGGTGCTTCCTAAACTTCTACCCTAACTAAATATTAGAGTTCTTGGGGATTATTGTAGCCTATTGCACACCAAACCAACTGAATTAGGATCTCAGGGAATGAAGCCTAAACATCAGTAATTTCTCAAGTTTCCCTGGTGACTCTGATTTGTTTTTCTACAACAGCACTATTTGTCTTCACAGACTTAAGGACAATGCTTTCTCTAGGAAAGAAATAATAGGTCTTTGATCAGTACTTTCCAAATTCTATTACATATTAGAATCTCCTGAGAAGATATTAAAAATTGCAATGTACTTGTCACTATTCATTTAATTACAGTGTGAAAGAAGGAATGAAGTATCAGTATTTCTTAATGATGCTGAGTTGCTCCCAGTGTGTAACAAAGTTTATAAACCAATGGCAGAGCACTCTAGATGGTTAATTTAAAGAACCCGGGGAACACGCATCTTGCGTTAGTACTGGACAGCAGAAAATGATGAATTTTTGCAATTTTACATAATAAAGAAACGTACTTATTACTGATATCAGGAAATAACATTTTTCTCCAAACAAGAGATTACTAAATATTTAGAAGAAATTTGGAGCACACACACTTTTTCTATGACCACTGCACTAGAAAGTTATATTTTCATATTGCTATTTTAACCAATATTTATATGCTTTGGGTAGAAGAATGTCTGAAAAATAAGAAAAAGTTAAATAAAATGCATGTGTAATATTTCGTGGTGTTTTATGTGATAGCAGTTATTACAGAAGATTGTGCTCTTAACTATACTGACATTTGCTATCACCTATCTATCTATCTACCAATCATCTCTTTCAGATAGCCACTCCCAAAGTTAGCCAAAGGGAGAACATAGAAAGGAATATTATTCATCCACCTAAGCCCATCTGTAACATAAACATAAAGTTGTTGGCTGTGACTTCTAAGTTTCCCCGCCATTTGACAAAAGTTTACATAGGTTTTTCTGATTATAAGCACTTAACTTAGAGAAGTAATGTTAGAAAACTCACAAATGTAAATAATGATTCTCTTGATAATTCGATGGAGCAGCAGGACTTCAGCTGGAAGAATTTACAACTGAATTTACAACTGAAAACCTAAGTTTTAGCAGATAATTTACATGTCTTTGCTAATGAAATTATTGTCATTTTTCACTCTATTTGATAAAATTTTCAGATTTTTTTCTGTTTCTACATCAAATTTACATTTTCAGGGTTCTACAGTTTTCTTATTAGAGTGGCTCTAGACAAATTGGTTTTTACATATCAAGTTTCCTTTTTCTTTCTTCTGTACCTTGCCCCATGTAGATATGTGAATGCACATGCTTGCACACACACACGCCCACACACATACATGCACACACATACATGCACACACACATACAAATGCACACACATACACATATATATACACACATGCACATACACACATATACCTACTCACACACACATACACACACACACACACAGACAAATATAAAGGAGTAGCTAAAGCGGTAGTCTTGAGCGGTAGGAGTAGCTAAAGCGGTAGTCTTGAGCGGTAGTCTAGGACACACCAATGCTTTATTAAATCTACATTTACGGGGGCTGGGGTTTAGCTTAGCGGCACAGTGCCTGCCTGGCAAGCGCAATGTCGTGAGTTCAATTCCTGGTACCGGAAAAAATATCAAAAAAAAAAAAAATCTATATTTACATGTGTAATGCAAATTTTCATTACACTCTTAGGCCTTTATGAACACTTTCCAGAAAATAACATTATTCAAGGAAAGATTTATCATGCAGAGTATACATTTAAACTTCAGGGATCCTTAGCATCTTAGTCACCTTCTTATGACACAATACCTAACATCCACAGTTTAAACGAAGAGAGGTGTCTTGATTTTCCTTGGTAGATGTTCCATGTATCTATCTTGGGCATATTAAGAGTCTCCCCTGCACTTTTGGCTTCACTGACACAATTGTGTACCCCACCCCTTCAGTGCACACTGCCTGGTCTCCCAGACCTTCTTTTAAAATAAATGTGGAAGCCTCTGCTACCTTATAACTCTTGCATTCTGCATCCTGTAAAACCAGCCCCGTATGGATGATGCCAATGTCTGCTGCCTGTTTGAGCAGTGGCCAGCTCTCTGGGTCATGGATGCAGAAGCTTTTGGGTGCCTATATGTCTCAACACTGTGAACTGAATCCTGAGGAATCAATTCCCTAGAAGGCCCTTCTTTAGTAGGGAACCTTGGGACTTTCTTCTTAAAGCAAAGTCTTTCCAAGAAGTTTACTTTTACCCTTTTATACATTTGAACCTGTGAAAGGTTGGTTTGTGCTAATTCCTGATATGCTCTCAAGGCATCCATCTTTCTTATCGTCCTGAAGCAAAGCTTTTGGCCTCTTTTTCATGCTAAACTTGTCAGAAACCAAGCTCTCCAAAGCCCTCATTTTGCAAAATGCTTCCTTTTTTTTTAATGAAATTGCAGAGTTTTAAAATCATTTAACTCTGTTATTTGCTTCTGATACTCACTGTAGATCTTGCAAAAATTAGCATGCAGGATGTGTACTACACCCTGTATTGCAGACTATCTTATTAATTTCTTCTGTCAGATTAATGAGTTCATGGTTCTTAATCTCAGTCTCAGGAAAAATCAGGACACAGGTAAAATGTAGATAAATTTTCTGCCAGTACATAACACACATAGACTTGAATCCAAATAATAATAGATACTTTTTTCCCCAATGGAAACCTCCTGAGCCTGGTCTGTACTGACTGCACTCATCAGCATTCTGATCTTCTGAGCTCTGACTAGAAACTCCCATTGAGCTTAGGTTATGGTATTCTAGGCCTTCTCTAGATGACATCTCCATGCCTTTCCAAACACCTCTGTGAACTATTTCCAAATGTTTCAGAACCATGTGATCAGGCACAGCTATGGGAATGGCCCCAATCCTGGTACCATAATTGGTTTTAGTCACTTTCTTTTTGCTGAGACACAGTACTCACTACCCATCACTTAGAGAAGTGGTTTCTTTGGCTCCCAGGCAGAAACAGTATGTAGGAAGGATCTCCCGCAGAGGAAAGCTGCCCATGTCAGGTGGCCAGGAAGCAGAGAGAAAGGGAAGAGACAAACCAGACCCCATTTGAAAAAAAAAAAAAAACCAGCTATAAAATCATCAGTGAACTAAGTCACTGATAAGTATAGTTCTTCCAGGATCCAATTACCTTCTAAACACAAGAGGCTTAGGGAGCACACCCCAGTTCTAAAGCATAACAATCACAAAGACCATTTTGAAGGTATTGAATATAAATTTGGAAAGCAGCTATGACAACCACTATACCACCAATGCTGAATATAATTTTGTATTTGAAATTTAACAGTATTTCTCTTAAAGGAGATTTCCAAAATGATACTAGTTACAATGTAAACAAGACTTGGTTTTGCTACTTTCTACTATATCACCAAGAATGAGTGTAATGATTGGTACAT